GGCAACTGGGCCAGAGGTAGGAATGATGGGAGCTGTAGCCCAACAGCATTTAGAATAGAGCTTTCCAAACTATGTATTGTGACATGTTAGTGTATCAGCTGCAGTGTGTAGGTATGTTGTTCAAATGTATTGAGAAACCTTAGGGTCTATGTGAAACAAGAATAAATCATGTTGTAATATATATGTACCAGTATATACCTAATCTATATAAATAAAAATGTAATGTTCGTTTCTGAGATTAACAGAACTCAAAAACCACTGGATGAATTGACACTGTTTGGACACAATACACCCAATGTATACACAACAACCCAATGTATGTCCTTCACTCAAAAAACTGATTTTGTCATTTGGGAATTGTAGTTGCTGGGATTTATAGTTCACTTACATTCAAAGAGTATTCTGAACCCCACCAACGATGGACTTGAACCAAACTTGGCACACAGTTCTCCCATGACCAACAGAAAATACTGGAAGGGTTTGGTGGGCAGTGTCTTTTGGTTTTGGAGTTGTAGTTCACCTACATCCAGAGATCTTGGCACAAATACTCAATATGCCCAAATGTGAACACTGGTAGAGTTTGGGGAAAATAGAATTTTGTCATTCGGGAGCTGTAGTTGCTGGGATTTATAGTTCACCTACAATCACAGAGCATTCTGAATCCCACCAACGATAGAATTGGGCCAAAGTTCCCACACAGAAGCCCCACAACCAACAGAAAATACAGTGTTCTCTGATGGTCTTTGGCYACCCCTCTGGCACCCTCTTGTGACCCCCCTCCCRGAGGGGTCCCGATCCCCAGGTTGAGAAATGCTGCTTTATATGGTCAATGTACACTCATATAATACACTAGCCGTCCCCTGCCACGCGTTGCTGTGGCTCACATGGGGGTTCTTTGTGGGAGGCCACAGCAACGCGTGGCAGGGGGCGACTAGTAAATATATAAATATATATTAAAACATGATTTCAAAAATGAGCCCCCCGGTGGTGCAGTGCYTTAAAGGGTTGAGCTGCTGAGCTTGTTGACTGAAAGGCTACAGGTTTTAATCTGAGGAGCGGCGTGAGCTTCCACAGTCAGCCCCAGCTTCTGCCAACCTAGCAGTTCAAAAACATGCAAATGTTAGTAGATCAATAGGTACTGCTCCGGTGGGAAGGTAACGGCACTCCATGCAGTCATGACCTTGAATTTGTCTATGGACAATGCCGGCTCTTCGGCTTAGAAATGGAGATGAGCACCACACCCCACAGCCAGACACGACTGGATTTAATGTTGGGGGAACACCTTTACTTTTACCTTATACCTAATCAAGGTGAAAATACTGTATATACTCGATGTAGCCCAATCCTGGCCAATGTCCTCCTCAAACACTACTGCCCACCACCCAAGTAAAGCTTTCATTTGGAGACAATTTCATCCTAGATATTATGTGTTTACTCCCCCACAAACATCCCAGCGTTTCTTACTCTCTCCATTGGTGTGGAATTTGCATGATCCCACCCACTGCCTCTCCCTTAACCCTTTCCTACTCTTTTCAATGCTGTCTGCAAGAGAAACAGAGCAGAACTGATCACAACTAAACATACTGGAGGAGTTTAGGGATTGACTCCACATGATGGAAGTTGTAGTTCACCCTGCATCAAGTCAGAGAACTGTAACTCCCACTGACAATGAACTTGGACCACATTTGGCACACAGAACCCCAATTACTAAAGAACAATACTAGAGAGGTTTGGGGGAATTCACCTTGATTAATAGCCATTTTAGATACTGGGATTTATAGTTTACTTGCAATCAAAAAGAACTCTGGATCCCATGCATGATGGCCCTGGACCTAACTTGGCACACAGAACCACAATGACCAACTGAAAATACTGGAGGGGTTTGAGGGGAACTGACCTTCATTTCTGGAAGTTGTAGTTCACTTACATCCAGAGACACTGTGACCACCACTGATGACAGATCTGGACCAAACTGAGCACACAGAACCCCTATTACCAACTGAACCTACTGGAGGGATTTCAGGGGACTGACCCACCATGGTGGAAGCTGTAGTTCAGCCTGCAGCCAGAGATCACTCTAAACCCTACCAATGATACAACTAGAACAAACTTGCCCAACATGACAACTTTAACTACTGATGGAGCTTCAGGGGGTTACCCTGGCATGATGTGAGTTGTAGTTCACCAACAACCTTATGCATTTTGTAAAATAAAAATGACTTTTTCAAATAACCCAGGCAATGCCAGGTACCCAAGCTAGTGTATGCATGCATGCATGTATGTATGTATGTATGTATATGTGTTGTGTGTATGTGTGTGTATATATATGTGTGTGTGTGTGTATACATATACATATACATATATATGTGCGATCTGTTGTATCCCCATACATTTTGGTATCTCCGGTTTGTTTGTAAAACTGAATGATTCTGTCACAAAATGATACATGTCTAAAAGGTGTGTCAACAACATTAAATGCTTGGAAAGCACTTATCTGGAGAGTAACAAGTTTCAAAACCTTATTAAAATGCTCTAAAAATAGTAAGAGAACATTTTGACCATGGGGTTTTTCACAACAGAGACACAGCTTCCTTCCGGGGGCATCTTCTGATTTCCTTGGTGGTCATCAGAAGAAATAAATACTGGGGCAACCATCATGGCTTTGGGTCATGACTGATATTTGTAGGTTGACCAATAAGCAGGAAACATTGATTTTCCAGTGCATTATTTTGGTAGAATGCAGACTACAGCAACATTTATAAACAACAGGACAAGAGCCAGAAAAAAAAAGATCCAATAAGGATGGTGGAGGAGGGTTACAACCTGTAGACTATTTCAGAGCATCCAAGCAGAGTTGCAGGAGGTACAGGTAACCCTGGTGGCACAATGGATTAAACCCTTGTGCCGGCAGAACTCAACAGAAGACTGACAGGCTGCAGGTTCAAATCTGGGGACAGCACGGATGAGCTCTCTCTGTCAGCTCCACCTTCCCATGTGGGAACACGACAGAAGCCTCCCACAAGGATGGTAAAACATCAAAACATCTGGCCATCCCCTAGGCAACATCTTTGCAGGCAGCCAATTCTCTCACACCAGAAGCAACTTGCAGTTTCTCAAGTTGCTCCTGACACGCAAAAAAAAAAAAGAAAAAAGAAGAAGAAAGAAATGTAGAAGAGGCTGGAGACAGCAAAGAAAAGGGTGGGCTTAGCTTTGGTTGTATTCCCATGTAGGCTGAGAATACAACCACTTCCCTATATCCCAGAATCTAATTCCAGATTATCTGCTTTGAACTGGATTGTATGAGTCTACACAGCAGAATTATTTGGGATAAGCAGATAATCTGGGATCAGATCCTGGGATATAGGGCAGTGTGGATCCAGTCTCAGGGAATTTCCACACAGCCATATAACCCAGAATATCAAGGCAGGAAATCCCACAATATCTGCGTTGAACTGGGTTATCTGACTCCACACTGGCATATATTCCAGTTCAAAGCAGAAAATGTGGGATTTTATTCAGATGTGTGTAAGGGGCCCTAGTCTCCAGTCCTAGTGACACTTAAACAATAGATACTTCAAAGGTGCATACACACTACACATTTATATATGGGCCTTTCCACACAGCCCTATATCCCAGAATATCAAGGCAGAAAATCTCACATTATCTGAGTGTGGACTCAGATAACCCAGTTCAAAGCAGATATTGTGGGATTTTCTGCCTTGATATTCTGGGATATAGGGCTCTGTGAGAAGGGCAAACTCCCCCTGAAGGCCCCTCCACACAGCCCTAGTTCAAAGCTGATGTTGTGGGTTGTTGTAGGTTTTTCAGGCTGTATGGCCATGTTCTGGAAGCACTCTCTATCTTGACGTTTCGTCTACATCTATGGCAAACATCCTCAGAGGTTGTGAGATGTTGTGGGAGTTTCTGTCTTTATATCCTGGGATATGGGGCTGTGTGGAAGGGCCCTAAGAATCTGGATTATATGGCTGTGTAGAAGGGGCCTAGAATGCTGCCGGATTCTTACTACTAGGAGCATAGTGTCTAGATCTAGGGAAGTAATGCTACCCATCTATTCTGCCTTGGTTAGACCACACCTGGTATATGTGTCCAATTCTGGGCACCACAATTGAAGAGAGATATTGAGAAGCTGGAATGTGTCCAGAGGAAGGCGACTAAAATGATCAAGGGTCTGGAGAACAAGCCCTATGAGGAGCGGCTTAAGGAGCTGGGCATGTTTAGCCTGAAGAAGAGAAGGCTGAGAGGAGATATGATAGCCATGTATAAATATGTGAGAGGAAGTCACAGTGAGGAGGGAGCAAGCTTGTTTTCTGCTTCCCTGGAGACTAGAACACGCAGAATGGCTTCAAACTACAAGAAAGGAGATTCCATCTGAACATGAGGAAGAACTTCCTGACTGTGAGAGCCGTTCAGCAGTGGAACTCTCTGCCCCGGAGTGTGGTGGAGGCTCCTTCTTTGGAAGCTTTTAAACAGAGGCTGGATGGCCATCTGTCAGGGGTGCTTTGAATGCAATTTTCCTGCTTCTTGGCAGGGGGTTGGACTGGGTGGCCCATGAGGTCTCTTCCAACTCTTTGATTCTATGATTCCATGATTCTATGACATGAAGTCCAGTCGTTTCCAACTCTGGGGCGGTGGTGCTCATCTCCATTTCTAAGCCGAAGAGCTGGTGTTGTCCGTAGACACCTCCAAGGTCATGTGGCCGGCATGACTGCCTGGAGCTCCTTTATGGCTGTGTAGAAGGAGCCTATGATGCTGCCGGATTGCTCCTACTGATGCTACAGATGTGAAAGTGGGGTCAAACGGTATCCATTCAACACAAGTCAGGATTCTCAAAGGGAAGGAGAGGACTTTTACAAACTGCCTGAAACTTCTCCATCTGATCTGGGACAGGAGACTCAAGAGAAGGCTGTGACGACCTCCTGCGCCTTGTGGGGACCTCTGCCAACCTCCCCACCCACCCGAAAGAAAGAAATCCGACTCACCTTCGCTGCCATACCGCTTGCCATTGTTGGCGCCCATCCTGGCGGCTTCATGCTGTCCTCCTCCTCCGTCCTGTCCCCACCATGTCGAACAGAGCCCGAGCTTCGGGCTGGAGACAAAAGGAGGCGCGGGAGGGAGGCAGAACGAGAAAGGTTCCAAGGGGTGTGTGAGCGAGGACGCAGACAGAGTAGAGCTCACTCCTCAAGCAGGGGAGCCTTCCCAAGACACTCCCTGTGGCGTCTCTCTTCCTGAGCAACTCGGAATCCACTTAATGGGAAGAGGGGGCAATTCCTGAGTAATCAATAATCCACAAGCCACGCAGAGGAGGAGGAACGGGGAGATAGGCTAGTAGGCAGTGTCCCCTGAATGAGAGAGGGACACACAATGCCTGCAGAGCTGGTTGGGGAGTGGCAGCCAGAACTATAGTCTTCTCCTCCTCCTCTTCTCCGCCTCTTTGGGGCTTCCCTCTCTGCCCCCCCCCCCCAAATCTCTTCCTCCCCCTGGCGGTCAACTTCAGGCACTGGGACTCCCCCAAACTTGAAAGCAGAAAGAAAGGGATGGAAAGAAAAGAAAGAAAGAAAGAGAGGAAACACACACTAAAGCAGTGTTTCTCAACCTTCCTAATACAGCTCCTCATGTGGTGGTGACCCCCAACCATAACATTATTTTCATTGCTACTTCATAACTCTATATTTTGCTACTGTTATGAATCATATTGTAAATATCTAGTATGCAGGATGTATTTTTCATTCACTAAACCACAATTAAAACTTGTGCATCAGTTGCGCCCGTACCTTGGGAAGTCTGATCTGGCCACAGTGGTCCATGCTCTTGTTACATCCCGAATAGACTACTGCAACGCACTCTACGTGGGGTTGCCTTTGAAGACTGTTCGGAAACTACATTTAGTCCAGGGAGGGATAGCCAATACTCCAGAGGACAGGAGCAGGATTCAAAACGATCTTGACAGATTTGAGAGATGGGCCAAAACTAACAAAATGAAGTTCAACAGTGACAAATGCAAGATATCCACTTTGGCAGGAAAAACGAAATGCAAAGATACAGAATGGGGGACAATGCCTGGCTTGAGAGCAGTACGTGTGAAAAAGATCTTGGAGTCCTCGTGGACAACAAGTTAAACATGAGCCAACAATGTGATGTGGCAGCAAAAAAAGCCAATGGGATTTTGGCCTGCATCAATAGGAGCATAGTGTCTAGATCCAGGGAAGTAATGCTACCCCTCTATTCTGCTTTGGTTAGACCACATCTGGAATATTGTGTCCAATTCTGGGCACCACAATTCAAGAGAGATATTGACAATGGAATGTGTCCAGAGGAGGGCGACTAAAATGATCAAGGGTCTGGAGAACAAGCCCTATGAGGAGCGGCTTAAGGAGCTGGGCATGTTTAGCCTGAAGAAGAGAAGGCTGAGAGGAGATATGATAGCCATGTATAAATATGTGAGAGGAAGCCACAGGGAGGAGGGAGCAAGCTTGTTTTCTGCTTCCCTGGAGACTAGGACACGAAACAATGGCTTCAAACTACAAGAGAGCAGAATCCATCTGACTGTGAGAGCCGTTCAGCGGTGGAACTCTCTGCCCCAGAATGTGGTGGAGGCTCCTTCTTTGGAAGCTTTTAAACAGAGGCTGGATGGCCATCTGTCAGGGGTGATTTGAATGCAATATTCCTGCTTCTTGGCAGGGGGTTGGACTGGATGGCCCATGAGGTCTCTTCCAACTCTTTGATTCTATGATTCTATGACTTCAGTTTCCATGATGCTCCACTGTTGACCATGTTAGTTCAGTCTAGATCATACAGAGAGCATACCACCTGTGAAGGAGTGTGGTTAAAGCTTACTGCCACCTAATGTGTGAGGAAAGCTGGGCAACGATCAATATCAGCTTAGGAGCTATTTTATAAAGGGACTATTAATTACAGAAGGCTTTATTCATTTGATAGCGTAGCGTTTACTGTCCCTGGCTTGACTTTACTTCTTATGCAGGCTGTTTGCCTTGAGAGAAACTGTATCAGGCAAGGCTTGAGGAAAACAGTAACAAGTTTATTTTAACAGGAGTATAACATGTTTAACTGTTTCTTCACAAGAGGCACAAATCTTGATTGGTTACATTAGTAAGGTTTCATGAGTAATCTCAGGCACAGACTTCAAGAGGTTTCTATAAGCAGATGTAACTCTTCTGGACAACTGTCCTAATAAAACAAATAAGCTAAAAGGCTTATTAACAGAATTGGCTCCCAGCCAAACCTTGATTCTTAACTCAGAATCAATAACCCCCTGTAGTTTTATCACTACCGGGTCCTTTTCTGTAACCCCATTGGTCACCAATTAATTCCCTGAATCTCCACCCAGAGATTCAGTCTTCCCTATAGCACACCGGCTGCAGACACATTCCCTGAATCTCCACCCAGAGACTCAGTCTTCCCAGTAGCTCACCGGCTTACTGACTGACTTTCAAAACAGCTGCCCCGTGAAGAGGCAGTTGGCTCCGCCCCTGTTGCTATGGCAACTCAGCTAATGCCAAGCCACCATCTCCAACAAAACATAATCCCCCATACTTACCATCCATAAACTACTGTTTAAATTACACATAACCAAAAGGAATAAAATTTACACATCGTCACACCACCCCTCTGCTATGTCAGCGCCACTGGCTGCCGATCCAGTTCCGAGCACAATTCAAAGTGCTGGTTTTGACCTACAAAACCCTATATGGCTCCGGTCCGGCATACCTGTCCGAACGCATCTCCCTCTACGTCCCACCTCTGAATCTGAGATCATCTGGGGAGGCCCTGCCCTCGACCCCACCTCTATCACAAGTGAGGCTGGTGGGAACGAGGAGCAGGGCCTTCTCTGTGGTGGCCCCTCACCTGTGGAATTCGCTCCCTTGGGAAATCAGATCGGCAACATCCCTCCTCTCCTTTAGAAGGAAATTAAAAACGTGGTTATGGGACCAGGCCTTCGGGCAACCTGGCAGTTAAGGACAATGGACGACAAGAATTAACAGGACTGACAATGTGGAATTGAAACTATGGACTATGAGACGGCGAATGCTGAATGTTAAACTGGTTTATTGACATGTTGTGGAACTGAGAAGTGACTGTGTAATTGTTTTTAACTGTTTAATTGCTGCTATACTGTTTTATTTTATTGTTGTATTGTAATGTGTTGTTGTATTGATGCCGGCATCGAATTGTGCCTTTGTACGCCACTCTGAGTCGTCCCCCCCCCCCGGGGTGAGAAGGGTGGGGTAGAAGTGTCTGAAATGAAATAAAATAAATACACCCTAATACAGTGTTTCTCAACTTTCCTAATGCTGTGACCCCTTAATATAGTTCCTCATGTTGTGGTGACCCCCAACCATAAAATTATTTTCATTGCTACTTCATAACTCTAATTTGGCTACTGTTATGAATCGTCATGTAAATATCTGATATGCAGGATGTATTTTCATTCACTGGACCAAATTTGGCACAAATATCTAATATGCCCAACTTTCAATACTGTTAAGGTTTGGGGGGGGGGGTGATTTTGTCATTAGGGAGTTATAGGTGCTGGGATTTATAGTTCACTTACAATCAAAGAGCATTCTGAACTCCACCAATGATGGAATTGAACCAAACTTGGCACACAGAACCCCATGACCAACAGAAAATACCAGAAGGGTTTGGTGGGTATTGACCTTGAGTTTTGGAGTTGTAGTTTGCCTACATCCAGAGAGCACTGTTGACCAAATATTTCTTTCTGAGAAAGAATGCCTTCTTGAGCTCATGCCCCCCAAGCAGGAAGGTCTTGTTCTAGATATGTTTTGAGGAAGTTGGGAAGATGGAATCCCAGAGAGAAGGGATTCTTAACATGCCCAAGAGAAGCAATCTTGGTATTGACGCTTACCATTCTAATATGAATCCCAAGACTCTTCACAGTTTAATATGCCTCATTCTGTTGAAACCAGGATGCTGTACAACATAAACCTGGACTATTCAGGAAAAATACTGGCCAAGCCTATGACATGATATGTATCAATGAAGTTGACTAAGTGTACACTATCAGGTCAGACATGTCTACAGTGCTTTGCACACTCCCTTGGTAGGAAGCTGAACTAAACATCTCAGGGGTCATCTCTGAGTTAGCATACTGTACACCTGAAAACTTCCAAAATAGATCTGAAATGGCTTCTTCTACCTATTTCATGGTTTCTACCTCTTTGAGGAGATGAATGTGCCCTCCATGTTAGGACAAACTTTAAAGGAGCTATCCAAGGTGCTGAATCCTAGCCCAAAATGTTTGTTTTCTTGGCTAGCTCTTTAAAGTTTGAGCTAAACCCTGACACGGGACCACTAGTTGCCATTCCATTTATCCTCAGGTATGGTCTCCTTTAGAGGCATTGCCAAAAAACCCTTATCCTTCCATCCCAGTAAAGGGCTAGCATTGTTGGGCATCTGCCAGAACTCACATACCTTTGTGAAAGGACCACTTCTGACCCGTCAGTCACTTGGATTTACACCAACACCACCATTTTCTCCTCCTTTTCACTGTTTCAGTTTCTCACCTGGCATTTGGTACCAAATATGTGAGCGGAGTGACATGAACAATGAGAAGATGTTCCTTTCCCTTTCTTTTGAGGTGGCGGTGAGTGTGCTCAGAAGGAGATGAGCCTATGTATGAGTGGTGGTGGTAATGCTAAGAAAAAAAATCCATTCAGGTAGGGGACACGATTAAGGACACCTTGTCTTTGGGTCCCAAGGTTCCAGAGCTCCTTCCAGAACCGCATCAACTATAAGTAAAATCTTGAATTTCTTTCTCTTTTTTTGCAGCAACATTTGTTATGATTCACTCCCTTCTGCCTGTATTTTGTATGAAAATATCAATGAATTCATTTTTCAAAGACAGTCTAACCACTTCCTTGCTAGCCTTCTGTTTCATATTGCATGTAACTTGGCAACATCTTATTGCTATAAACCTACAATCACAGCCATGTAACTGGGCCAGAAATTAGGAAAACTTCACCATCGTTGCAATGTCATAGGGCGATGTTATGAACACAGTATATGGTAGTAATGTAGATGAAATTAGGCAATGTAACACAGAAGGTGGTACATGCTGGAATCTTGCAAAGCAATACAGTTCCACATGTAAAACTATGTTACAGCTGGCCATTGAACACTCCTGGACTTACCACTGAGATGCTGGTGGAGAGTGGACTTACCACCATGGCTGGTGGAGAGTGGAAGGGGATCAGAGAAGTATCTGCTTATGTCCCTGTTGCCAGATGCAAAATTATTATCACATTCACTGAGGTCTATTAGGACTCTCCAGAGATCTCAGCAGAAGTTGTAATCATTTCATGTCAAGTTATAGGAACATAGCCAGATGTCTCTCCAATACCCCTCACATCTCACCAGCCATGGAATTGTCACGGGAAAG